CAATCAATTAGATTTCATTAATGTAAGTTGCCTTTAATGGTGTCACTCGTGACCTAGATACGTTTGTCGTCTCAATTTCAACTAAAACACTCAAGTTTCATTTAAGATCCTATACTTTGAGATATTTTTGAATAAAATCTTAGTAGGCATACATTCGATTTATCAAACTCAACATAAACATGAAAACTAATTCGATCTGGAGAGGAATACATTAGGTTTAAAATTTATTTATTTATTTATAGAGAAAGATATATAACACATTTTGACTAAATCATCTAATAGTTAAAATTTATTTATTTATTTATAGAGAAAGATATATAACACATTTTGACTAAATCGTCTAATAGAGCTTCCTTGATGAACTTATCAAAGTTGACATAAGATGATCCCCCAACATCAGTAGCTTCTTGTGCTATTTTCTTCCATTCCTTAGCCTTGATTCTCATTTTCTTACCTTTCTCACCTTCCATCATTTCCCTAATCAATTGCGCAACTTCATCGCGCTTCACATCATGATCTATCTCCATCCCAATTCCCCATTTTGAGCACGAATAGTGACAATTCGTTTGCTGATCAGCAAAAAAAGGCCAGCAGACTACTGGCACACCTGCATATATGCTTTCCATCATAGAATTCCATCCACAATGTGTCAAGAACGAACCTACAGCAGGGTGTTCCAACACCTGATCCTGTGCACACCAGCTTATTGACAATCCTCTATCCTTAATCTCCTCGTGAAATTCTTCAGGCAACATTGTTGATTCGCCTTTCACAACATCCGGCCTCACAATCCAGAGAAATGGTTGCTTGCTGTTTGCAAGCCCCCACGCGAATTCTTGAAAATGAGTGCCTGACATTGTTGTCACACTCACATAATTCACGTAAACAACTGACTCAGGTTTTTTGCTGTCCAGCCATTCGAAAACTTTTGAGTCCGGTTTCCATAAACTCGAGTTTAGAGACTTGGCTTGGCTTTCAGGGAAATGCCTGCCAAGTAGAGGAAGAGGCCCAATTGTGTAAATGTTTGAGAAATTGAATTTGGATATTACAGCTTGTAAGGCTTCTTGTTCAAATTCATAGAAGGTATTGAAAATTATGGCAGGAGCTTTCAGACAATTCTGTGCTTCTTCTCCCATGAAATCGAACATGATGTCGTTGGGATCAGTTGTTCGGATAAAACTAGGAACATCCTTAAGGCAAATATCGCTCATACCGGTTATCCAATCAATTGGGGTGTCAAGAGTGCCATCAGTAAGGTAGTCATCATCTGGAATGAAATGGCAAGAAATCTCCATTAAAGGCAAATCAAAAGACAACTGATCTACAAGAAAATGTTGTAATTTGTACTCCATGGAATTCATGTTATATGATCAAGGAGATTTCAGAAAATCCCACATGGCATAGTCACTGTATATATGAAAATCAAGGACTGGCTAGCCAATATGAAAATAAGCCCTTATTTGGTAGAAAGTAGAATCCAGATTTTAATCAAAGTTAAATTCAATAACTAATTTTGACTACACATATGCACCCACAACTTATATATTGTCTTTAGTTGTTTATAGCATATTTTTAGAGTCAGCAAATGTCTGGATTCAAGTATCGTTTGCCACCCATTTATGGAAACCGTCCACGTACTGGCTGTGCTTAAAAATATCCTGCAACACAAGATCCTAACGGTATGCCTTGTAACGTGGATTGGACACTATAAACAAGTATGTTTTATACAGCGTAGTGCATGATATATTCAAAAGGTTTTAATGAAATGCTATCAAATCACCTTACAGAACTTATCATAAATGTATTCCCTAACTTACGGTTTTAACTTTTTAGTCGACGTGGTTCAACTAGACAAACGTAATACAAGACATCACTTACTTTTGAAAGGGAAAATGCCTCTTTTGATGAGTTCTCGGTAATGCAAGTATCCTATAAAGGAGCAAGCAGAAGCAGTCCAGAACTGAACCTCTGGAATCCCCCTATCTTCGGCAGCCCTAATGGCAAAGCTCATCATTCCATCTGAAATAATGCACGTAACTCGAGGCTCGTTAGGTGACGAATTAAGCCTGGACAATAGGGCTTTGAAAGGCAACAAACATGTTTTCCTTGTAGTGTCGCACAGGAGTGGAACATCTTGGGTTGCATCTTCATCTGATGGCGGCATTCCATCAGGTATGGTCTCAAATTTGAAATCAGGCAACCCCTTCACAGAATCAGGGCCTTTTGATCGGATCAAACGTCTGTGATTATATTCCATGTTCACAAAAGTGATATAAAAACCTCTTGAATGCAAAAGCTTTGCAATGTAGGAAATAAAACAATAATGTTTACCGTCATAAGAACGTTCATATTGGATCATCAAGAACTAANCAATCAATTAGATTTCATTAATGTATGTTGCCTTTAATGGTGTCACTTGTGACCTAGATACGTTTGTCGTCTCCAGTTCAACTAAAACATTCAAGTTTCATTTAAGATCCTATACTTTGAGATATTTTTGAATAAAATCTTACTGGGCATACATTCGATTTATCAAACTCAACATAAACATGAAAACTAATTCAATCCGGAGAGGAATACATTAAGTTTAAAATTTATTTATTTATTTATAGAGAAAGATATATAACGCCTTTTGATTAAATCGTCTAATAGTTAAATTACCCCTATGTAAATAAAAGAAAAAAAAAAAACAACTCTCCCTCTTCGAATCCACATCTTCACTAGCATCGATCAACATCCAGCCTACTCGATGTTGATGAAAACTTGATAGATAAAACTTTAATCCACGATGATGATATATATTTAATATGCTGGATGGAATTAGGTGTGTGAAGGTTGGTCTGGCCACTTGGACCCCTATAAATGGCTCCACCCGCCCGACCGGACATCCGGGACAGGCCGGCCAACCTTTGTTTTTTTGTTTTTTTTTTTGTATTTTCAGAAAAACAAATGTGAAAATGGATAATGTTGCAGGTGGGATTTCTGATCGCTTTAATCAATCTTGAAAATGTAGAGCTTCCTCAATGAACTTATCAAAGTTGACATAAGATGGTCCCCCAACATCCGTAGCTTCTTGTGCTATTTTCTTCCATTCCTTAGCCTTGATTCTCATTTTCTTACCTTTCTCACCTTCCATAATTTCCATAACCAATGGCGCAACTTCATCGCGCTTCACATTATGATCGATCTCCATCCCAATTCCCCATTTTGAGCACGAATAGTGACAATTTGTTTGCTGATCAGCAAAAAAAGGCCAGCAGATCACTGGTACACCCGCACATATGCTTTCCATCATAGAATTCCATCCACAATGTGTCAAGAATGAACCTACAGCGGGGTGTTCCAACACCTGATCCTGTGCACACCAGCTTATTAACAATCCTCTATCCTTAATCTCCTCGTGAAATTCTTCAGGCAACATTGCTGATTCGCCTTTCACAACATCCGGCCTCACAATCCAGACAAACGGTTGCTTGCTGTTTGCAAGCCCCCACGCGAATTCTTGAAAATGAGTGCCTGACATTGTTGTCACGCTCCCATAATTCACGTAAACAACTGACTCAGGTTTTTTGCTGTCCAGCCATTCAAAAACTTTTGAGTCCGGTTTCCATAAACTCGAGTTTAGAGACTTGGCTTTGCTTTCAGGGAAATGCCTGCCAAGTAGAGGAAGAGGCCCTATTGTGTAAATGTTTGAGAAATTGAATTTGGATATTACAGCGTGTAAGGCTTCTTGCTCAAATTCGAAGGTATTGAAAATTATGGCAGGAGCTTTGAGACAATTCTGTGCTTCTTCTCCCAAGAAATCGAACATGATGTCGTTGGGATCAGTTGTTCGGATAAAACTAGGAACATCCTTGAGGCAAATATCGCTCATACCGGTTATCCAATCAATTGGGGTGTCAAGAGTGCCATCAGTAAGGTAGTCATCATCTGGAATGAAATGGCAAGAAATCTCCATTACAGGCAAATCAAAAGACAACTAATATACAAGAAAATGTTGTAATTTGTACTCCATGGAATTCATGTTATATGATCAAGGAGATTTCAGAAAATCCCACAAGTATGGCATGGGCATGTATATATGAAAATCAAGGACCGGCTCGCTAATATGAAAATAAGCCCTTATTTGGTAGGAAGTAAAATCCAGATTTTAATCTAAGTTAAATTCAATAACTAATTTTAACTACACATTTTATAAACCCACAACTTATATATTGTCTTTAGCTGTTTATAGCATACTTTAAGAGTCAGCAAATGTCTGGATTCAAGTCTCGTTTGCCACCCATTTATGGAAACCGTCCACGTATTGGCTGTGCTTAAAAATATCCTGCAACACTAGATCCCAACGGTATGCCTTGTAAGGTGGATTGGACACTAAGTATGTTTATACAGTGTAGTGCATGATATATTCAAAAGGTTTTAATGAAATGCTATCAAATCACCTTACAGAACTTATCATAAATGTATTCCCTAACTTACGGTTTTAACTTTTTAGTGGAAGTGGTTCAACAAGACAAACGTAATACAAGATATCACTTACTTTGGAAAGGGAAAATGCCTCTTTTGATGAGTTCTCGGTAATGCAAGTATCCTATAAAGGAGCAAGCAGAAGCAGTCCAGAACTGAACCTCTGGAATCCCCATATCTTCAGCAGCCCTAATGGCAAAGCTCATCAGTGCATCTGAAATAATGCACGTAACTCGAGGCGCGTTAGGTGACGAATTAAGCCTGGACAATAGGGCTTTGAAAGGCAACAAACATGTTTTCCTTGTAGTGTCACACAGGAGTGGAACATCTTGGGTTGCATCTTCATCTGACGGCGGCATTCCATCAGGTATGGTCTCAAACTTGAAATCAGGCAACCCCTTCACAGAATCAGGGCCTTTTGATCGGATCAAACGTCTGTGATTATATTCCGTGTTCACAAAAGTGATATAAAAACCTCTTGAATGCAAAAGCTTTGCAAGTCTCATCATAGGGGTGACATGACCTTGTGATGGATATGGAACTAAAACTGCATGAGGTTTTGCGGTTTTCATTGAACCCATCACAGTATTAAGGAAGAAGAAGAAGAAACTGATGTTATATGAGAATAATTCCGCTTATCAAATATATGAGCAAGGTTTCGGTAAGATGCTGTAAATTATGACATTTATAGGCAAGTTAAGACAAAAAATCTGCCATCATTAGGCATTAGGGGATTACAGTCTCATTCTCCTGCCCTATTTTGCCCACTCGCAGAGGTTCTCACATTTGGAGAGAACCTAACGTTGGATTCTCCTACTATATCAGCAGGTGGACAGTCTTATTCTGCCCACCGTGGACGGGAGAACAATTCCATAGGGGATTAATCAAGAATCTGGAATGATTGATTAAGGTCTGATGAGTGATCAGCATTATAATAAGAAAACTCTTTATTAAAATATTCTCGTAATTCATTTTTGCTTGGTTTTTCAAATTACGTGCCAGGCTTTTTCGAATTTTCCTTGAGAAGATGAAAAATCAGAATTGAGTTTAGTCCGAGCTCTCGAAGATTTTTGTCTGAACTGAGATGTTTTAATGGTACATCACGTCTGCTTGAGTATTTAATTTGGACACAAACAACTGTTGCTCTGTGTTTTTTCTAGTCATACTAAAAAACATAATAATAGTCAACAAATGGAGTAAGCGAGGTTGTCCCATTATAACTTTGATGGTAGCATTTGACTGGCGCTTAGCCACGTTTCAAGATAAACTTTGGGACATCTGAAAATTCAATTTGTTAAAAATAGGTTGAATATTTATTTTTATTTTTACTTTTTATCAATCAATCAGATTTCATTAATGTAAGTTGCCTTAAATGGTGTCGCTAAGTCGCTTGTGCCCTGGATAAGTTCGCCACCTCGAGTTCAACTGAAACTGGTTTCGGGGAAGTCAAGTTTCATTTAAAAACTTGTACTTTGAGATATTTTTTTGAATAAAATCTTAGTAGGAAATTTCGAAACGTCTCAGTGTTACAGAAGAAGAAGAAACTTATGGGAATAATGCTGCTTATCAAATACATGAGCAAGGTTTTGGCAAAATCTGCCATCATTAGCCATTAGGGGATTAATCAAGACGTGGCTCGATCAACATCATAATAATAGAACTCTTTATTATTCTTGTAATTCAGATTCGGACAAAATAGAATATTATAAGTCTACGGCGGTTGGCGAGCTGCGCTACACTATCTGGCAGTGGCCAATTAGAGCTTTTTACTATTATAAAAATTTCAAGAAATGCATTTCTTGAAATTCTATGTTGTATATGTGACTTATATAGAGTGGAATACGAAATTATTATATCAAAATGGCCGATGTCAGAGCAGAGCGCAATGAGGGGAGCGGAGCCCATTAAACAGAACGGAGCGAAGCGACTGCATAAGGCACTTCTGATCTTCCGGTTAAGGATTTTCCGCAAATAATTGAGGATTGTGTCTCTCTCTATCTTGAAAATTTGCAAGGAATTTCATTCAGGGGTTGAGGTTTCTTTCCATATTGCTTGGAAGATGGGTTGTGTGGACGACTTTGTTGCTGTACATATTTTTGAATCGATGACTTCTACATGCGGCCTATCATGTTTGGTACCCTCAATGACATGGATCACCACACCTCACTCCCCAACTCATTTAAATCCCTAGCATGTTTGGTTAAGATAAAAGTTACTTTTTTTAAAATTCATATACAACTTTCATTAATGCAAATGGCTAAATAACAAATGACACAAGAAAAAAAGGGAATACAATAAATCGAAACCAATTGGATAAAAAATAGCAAATGATGTTAGATGATGGTTATTCTTATCTCTTGACGTAAAGCAACAAGAGCCACATTCAGTCTCTCAAATNAATACACAATATTTTACATATAAGTACACATGTTTGAATAAAAATCCTTACATGCAAGTCTCATCATAGGGGTGACATGACCTTGTGATGGATATGGAACTAAAACTGCATGAGGTTTTGCGGTTTTCATTGAACCCATCACAGTATTAAAGAAGAAGAAGAAACTGATGTTATATGAGAATAATTCCGCTTATCAAATATATGAGCAAGGTTTCGGCAAGATGCTGTAAATTATGACATTTATAGGCAAGTTAAGACAAAAAAATCTATCATTCGGCATTAGGGGATTAATCAAGAATCTGGAATGATTGATTAAGGTCTGATCAGTGATCAGCATTATAATAAGAAAACTCTTATTAAAATATTCTTGTAATTCAATTTTGCTTGGTTTTTCAAATTACGTGCCTGGCCGTTTTCGAATTTTCCTTGAGAAGATGAAAAATCAGAATTGAGTTTAGTCCGAGCTCTCGAAGATTTTTGTCTGAACTAAGATGTTTTAATGGTACATCACGTCTGCTTGAGTATTTAATTTGGACACAAACAACTGTTGCTCTGTGTTCTTTCTAGTCATACTAAAAAACATAATAATAGTCAACAAATGGAGTAAGCGAGGTTGTCCCATTATAACTTTGATGGTAGCATTTGACTGGCGCTTAGCCACGTTTCAAGATAAACTTTGGCACATCTGAAAATTCAATTTGTTAAAAATAGATTGAATATTTATTTTTATTTTTACTTTTTATCAATCAATCAGATTTCATTAATGTAAGTTGCCTTAAATGGTGTCGCTTGTGCCCGGGATAAGTTTGTCATCTCGAGTTCAACTGGAAATGGTTTCGGGGAAGTCAAGTTTCATTTAAAAACTTGTACTTTGAGATATTTTTTGAATAAAATCTTAGTAGGAAATTCGGAGACGTCTCAGTGTCACAGAAGAAGAAGAAACTCATGGGAATAATGCTGCTTATCAAATACATGAGCAAGGTTTTGGCAAGATGCTGTGAATTATGACATTTATAGGTAAGTTAAGATATAAAAAATCTGCCATCATTAGCCGTCGGGGGATTAATCAAGAAACGTGATTGTTTAATGCTCGATCAACATCATAATAATAGAACTCTTTATTAAAATATTCTTGTAATTCAGATTCGGACAAAATAGAATATTATAAGTCTACGGCGGTTGGCGAGCTGCGCTACACTATCTGGCAGTGGCCAATTAGCCATTACCGTCATTGACATGGATCACCCCTCACTCCCCAACTCATTTAAATCCCTTGCATGTTTGTTTAAGCTAAAAGTTACTTTTTTAAAAATTTATTTTTGGAAATCTATATATACAACTTTCATTAATGCAAATGGCTAAATAACAAATGACACAAGAAAAAACGGAATACAATAAATCGAAACCAATTGTATGAAAAATAGCAAATGATGTTAGATGGCGGATATTCTTAGCTCTTGACGTAAAGCAAGAAGAGCCACATTCAGTCTCTCAAAT